ACCAATGCATTTCCTAGAGTTTTAAAATATATATTAGTCAAATTGGAGAAGTTAGAAATAATCAGTTAGAATTAGGGAATATTACCCAATTTAGATAATGCATGTTATTTTCTGTGGTTCTGTGGTCTAGCTGTCAAGTAAAGTTTGTACTTTTTGGAAAATCAGATTGATGAGTTTGTATGAGGTAGAGCCAGGGTCTTCAGAGAAAATAGAACTGAGTCTTCAGTTTTCATGAAGTTTTAGAACACTTGATATTTATAGTAAGCCTTGAGATTATCAGACAATGTACAGTAAATCTTTATTATGTACTAGAGGCCCAGTGCACAAATTCGTGCACAGGAGGGTGGTGGAGGGGGGAGAGGGGTCTTTCAGCCTGGCCTGCACCCTCTTGCAATCTGGGACTCCTTAGGGGATGTCTGTCTAAACCGGCAGTTGGACATCCTTCTGGAAATCTGAGACCGCTGGCTCCTAACTGCTCGCCTGCCTGCCTGATGCCCCTAACCACTCTGCCTGCCTGCCTGATCACCCCTAGCCACTCTGCCTGCCTGCCTGATACCCCTAACTGCCTCTGTCTGCCTGCCTGATGCCTCTAACTGCCTCTGCCTGCCTGCCTGATCAACTCTTACCAATTTTTCAGTATTTCTCAGGTTCCACTTTGCTCGCCTGCCTGCCTGATCACCCATAACCACTCACCTGCCTGCCTGATCGCCCCTAGCCATCTCTGCCTCAGCCCCTGCCACCACAGCTTCGTCTGGAAGGACGTTCAGAATGACATTCAGAAGGTCGTTCGGCTGTCCAGTCTAATTAGCATATTATGCTTTTATTATTGTAGATTGCCTGTGAAGTTGCTACTGTTTGCCTTTTTTAATGTCACATGAAATCATAAGAAAAACTAATCAGTTTGAATTGGGCATTATAATTTCCTTCCTTTAAATTTTTAAGTGTTTTCACTTATGCATAACCCCAAAGAATGACATCACATTATTTACTGTAAATTTATTAGCTCTGCTATGAAGTCATTTAGTTTTGAGCTCTCGAAAAAAAAATGACTTCAAGCTTTTGTAGTGTGCCTCTAATTCACATTTTAATAAATGTCATTTTCTAAGTGCATTACCTCATGCTTTGGCTTCAACCCAGAGGAATACCGAGAGAATAAGAGAAATGTGCTTTCTGACTGGTTCATCCATATTTTATTTTACTTTTCATTAAGAAATTACTCTTTGAAGGAAATCAATAATCTTCTCTGACTGAGGGGAGAGGTTAGAATGTTGCAGTGGTGCATTCTAATTTCTCACGTACACTGCTTTCAGCCAGCTGTTGCTGATAGAGTGCTTGTCCTTTCTCGTTCCTGCAGCCTGGGTACATGGCGACCCCAGAAGAGTGGCTTACCCTACAGACAGCAAGGGCCACTTTTGTGGCCAGAAGGGCACCCCCAATGAGTGAGTATGGCCACCTTTGCTTTGTCTGATTTTACTGTTTAAGCTACAACCTGGAAACCACGTTTGCATTCGTCTTACTGGACTTCTTAACAAGATTGAAATTCAAAAGGAAGGCCTTCCCTCCACCTTTTCCTGAAACAGTTTATAAGCAGTTGGAGAGTTTCATACTATATGACATAAGACAAGATGTCACTGTTTTACAGCATTTTGTTAGATTGCATGAAGATGTTGCTTAATGAAAATATAATGGTAATGGATGAGTTGGACCAGTGATTTCATCAGAAGCCATATTTTAAAGTGCCTTATGAAATGGCTTTTGGAAGGCTGAGTTCTGACTAGCTGTTAAAAAGCTAGACATTAAAAAGCTGTTGTTAGATTTGTGTTTGTTGTAAGTAAATCACTCCCCCTTTCAAAGTGAGGAGCCCCTGTTGTTAGATTTGTGTTTGTTGTAAGTAAATCACTCTGATAAATCACTCCCCCTTTCAAAGTGAGGAACCTGCCCAGAAAGTCCTCCATGTGTGGTAGACTTTTCAAGGCAACATGGCTGCAGACAATGACCTTAAGTAGCAGAAACAAACAAGGACCAAGGTTCCATCAAATTCCTTTCCAGTGTTAATTGAAACAGAAAAGGTTTTTTTTTTTATTTCTTTACTTTAAGAAAGCAAAACAAAAACATAAATCTCACACTTTAAGAAAATTTTGCCTTCTTTCCCACTAGTAATTGGAGTTGTTACTAGATCTGGTTCTTTATAACCAATTCAGTTTCTATAAAAGCTGGTACTGAATGGATAAAAGCCAAAGCAACAACAGTCTCCCTCCCCCTGCCACCACCAACAGCAAATAAGGCTCAGAACGCTTTGGTGAGTTTCCTACCCACAACTGTGGAGCTTATCATTTGAGATACACAGATTTAAAAAATAGAATCAGGAAGGTGTTAACAAAATTCATAGAGTAGAATTTTTATAGACAACCAAGAGAACCCAAAATTTGGGTGGGGAGGAAACCCTCAATCATGTCAAGTTGAGTTTATAGTGGACAAATAGACTCCAACAAAAGGTCTTCGGTGCCTATTGGAGACAACTAAACTGAACTCTGATCTAGGGTGGTAATTCTTATTTTAACCTCAGCAACTAAAAACATCCTAGGCAATGACAACAGACACTTCACCCTATGAAGGACAAATAGAGCACCAGAAGATAAAAGTAATAAAAATCTCTAAATCTCTAGTTCTGTAAAATAGGCAATTTTTAAAGGTCCCCTGTAGCGATAAAATTATTTGCCCATATACATGTGATTTTATTTCTGGGCTCAATTCTGTTCCATTGGTCTGTGTGTCTCTTTGTCTACCGGTACTATACTATTTTGATTATTATAGCTCTATAGTATAATTTGAAGTCAGGTGATGTGATACCTCCAGTTTTTCTCAGCATTTCTATGGCCATTCAGGGTTTTTTGTTGTCCCATACAAATCTGGTGATTTTTTTGTTCTATTTCTTTAAAAAATGACATTGGTTAAGGCCTGGGGTCGGGTGGGGGCTGGATGGAGTGGGTAAGGGTGGGAGTAAAGGGGCCATCTGTAATACTGTTAACAATAAAAAAATATACAGGGTGTCCCAAAAAATGTATACACACTTTAACAGCTAAATTTTGAAAATGAAATGTATTTTAATATACACTGCCTTTATAATTCAAAATGTATCTACATTTTTTTGGGACACCCTATATATAAAAAACATTCTCATCACAATAAAAAATTCTAACTATGTGAAGTGATAAATGTTAACTAAACTTATAGTAATTACTAGTGGCCCGGTGCATGAAATTCGTGCATGAGGGAGGGTGTCCCTCAGCCCGGCCTGCACCCTCTCCAATCTGGGACCCCTCGGGGGATGTCCAACTGCTGGCAGTCAGATATCCCTCTCGCAATTCTAGGACTGCTGGCTCCTAACCACTCACCTGCCTGCCTGCCTGATTGCCCCTAACCACTTTGCTTGCCGGACTGATCAACCCCAACTGCCCGCCCCTGCTGGATTGATTGCCCCCAACTGCCCCCTCCCCCCTTTGAC